CTTTGTTTTTGTTATTGTCTCTTTTGCTGTGCAGAAGCTCTTTAATTTGATGTAGTCCCAGCTGTTTATCTTTGCCTTCACTATCACTGCTTTGGGTGATGTGTCTGTAAAGATGTCTTTGATGTGCAAATCACGTAGTGTTTCGCCTATATTTCCTTCTATATATTTTATGGTTTCAGGTCTTATGTCTAGTTCTTTAATCCATTTTGAGTTGATTTTTGTGTATGGTGTGAGGTAGTGGTCAAGCTTCATTCTTTTGCATGTAGCGACCCAGTTTTCCCAGCACCATTTATTGAACAAACTTTCTTTGCTCTAATGCATAGTCTTTGCTCCTTTGTCAAAGATTAGTTGACCATAAATCTGTGGGTTTATTTCTGGATTTTCTATTCGATTCCATTGGTCTGTATATCTGTTCTTGTGCCAATACCATGCAGTTTTGATGATTATGGCTTTGTAAAATAAGGTAAAAGTTCTGATGTTGGGCAGTTCACAGTCTAGCTAGAGAACTAACAGATAATTACATGATAGTTCCATAATGTGTGTCTTTTTTTAAGTGCAATAAAATAAGTCCAGGGAAAGGTGGGGATGGCCTCATGTCAACAAGGCAGTGGATAATTCAGTCTGGACTTAACAGATGCCCTGGACATTGGCATCAAGAGAATGCAGAGGTGTGAACAATGCAGAGGTGTGAATCTCTTAAAAAGAGGTTGTGTAAATAGAGGGAAAAATGAAACAAAACATGGAGTATTTAGAGATGAGTGAGCATAGTTCTGTGTGACCAGACAGGGAGCAGCAAAGGCAGGCTGAGACCTGTGTGCCAGGTTAAGTCATTTGGGCTTTCTAATATTGGTAGTGAGAAGCCACTAATGAGAAATATCACATTCATACCTGTACAAAGCATGGATTATCACGTGGAAGATCTGGACAAAGAGAGGTGGCTAATGACAAAGCCAGATGAGCCCACTAAGTTGGAGAGGAGACAAATCAGAGCAGTTCTTAGGTGGTGCTTTCCCATCCTTGGATATGCAGAGAGGACCCTCGATGCCCATGACGAGCTTGATTAAATCCCTGCATCATCTTTGAAGGTTTTACTTTCAGGACCTGCTCCTCAGGGATTTTAGCATTGTAGGGGACACGTGCTTAGTGTGTGTTGGTGTATATCATTTGTCAGCTGTTCATTTTGGAACAGTTATATATGATTTTGGAAAAATTATTTGCAGCTTAATTCTTTTGTGCTAGTAAAGATATGTGTGGGAAAGAAAAATATAATTAAATCTTATAACTTTAGGTAAAAAGTGATATGTATTTCTGCAGAGTAGGTGGGTTATTTGAGTTTCGGTGCATATTTTCTGCTTGGCTTTAACTCTTGGAATATTTTATTCATTATGCGAAATGGGTTGAATTTTGAGCATAGTTGGCAAGATTTCTTTTAGGAACCACTGGAAGTTTTTGCTGTCTATGGTATGTCTTTCCTAGTAGCCAAAATATTTTGTTTAGTGTGGGCACTTGGTATGCTAGTCTTTACAGAGGCATCTCTATAACAGGGTAGATATTATATCATATATATGCATATATAGAATATGGAATATTTTTCAGCCTTAAATGATTGGCATTTATATCATCTCACTTATGTGTGGAATTTAAACAAACACTGCAGAGCTCATACTGGTGGCCAGGGTAGGGGCTGAGAAAAAAATGAATAAACTTCCATTTATGGTGGTCAACTTCCAGTTATATAAGATAAATAAAACCATGAGATTGTAACATAATATACAAAATTGTTTCTTAAGTAATAGTTAAGATAAAGAGAAACCTTTTAAATATCTTACCAGTAGTCAGCATAGAAGGGCCAAGTGAAATTATAATTAAGGATACTTTCAGTTAATATTTACTTTTGTGCTACAATTACAATTTAATTCACACATAAAATTGGATTGCAAACTCTAAATATAAAGGAAAAAGCTCTAATTTCCAGCTAAAACTGACAAAAATGGAAAACTATTTCTAGCATTACTGAAATCCTGATAAAATAACAAAATGATGAAAATGAATTTGCTCATATAATATGCAATGATATTAGATTCTACTCACAAAAAAATTGATGCTAGTTATTTCTTCATCCATGTATTCATTCAACAAATGATTATTTAATGCCTACTGTTTATTAGATATGGTTCTAGGCACTAAAAGAAGTGAACATTGACATGAATTATATTTCTAATAGTATAAAATGTTAACTGAGACAATTATAAAATACAAAATTAAGGAAAAGAGCTAAGATGTATAATTCTTTAATTTTCATTCATTATTTTTTCAGCATGGATTGTGGTCCCATTTTTCAGAGATCGATCATAAAATATATAATTCCTTTCCTGCCATTAAAATTTTAAAGTCATGCCAAGAAATTTTATTCAGCCTTGATACAGCATAGAAGATCTAAGTCTATCTATGGTTTCAGATACACCCTCTTCCCCTGGTAAAAATAGTGCAATTATTACATCATGACTTCAGAATTTGAAAAAATAAAGTAGTTATAAAAGAAGTAAAAGCTAAGATCACAGTTATTTTTCCTACCAAATGACAGGCCACTGGGGATACTGAAGCCACTAAAATGTGGACATACTGCAGTGAAACTGTGGGAGGACACAGAAATCTGGGAAGTCAGTGAGAGGGCAATTTTGCAACATTATTAGAAACTTAAATATACTTTGACCTATAAATTCCACTTCTAGGAATTAGATTCCTAGGAAGATGTTTGAAGTAAAGTAAAGCTCATGATAAGACTTAATAGCCACCTCTTGGAAACTGTCACTTACCACTGGAACAGTTGATGGTGACTGTTGCACAGATCCAAGAGAGAATCCACAACAGCAGCACTGTCAAAAAATAGCTACTTACAGGGCCTCCCTGGTGGTGCAAGGGGTTAAGACACAACCTCTGAAGCTCTCTGCAGCCATTGCAGCACGAGTTCAATCCCCGGCCAAGGAGCTACCCACATGGCACAGCAGACCTCACCTCTCTCGCCCACTGCTCCCCTCAGCAGTGTATTTCAGTCAGTCTGCCTGTTCTGCTCTCCACTCTGTCTCTGGTGAATCCTCTCACCACCGCCCCCCACCTCTGGCCTGTACCCCAGTTCTTGTATGCATAAATAAATAAATATTTTTAAAAAGAAAATAGCTACTTACAGAGGAAGATATTTATGATACATTGCTGAGAGAAAAAAGAAACTACCAACAATATTTATGGATTGTGTCATTGTAGAAAACTATATTGATTGATAGAAAAGGTTTGAAAAGACCTCAAAATGCTAGCAGTGTCTTTATACTGGATTATAATTATTTTTACATTTTTCAAGTTCTTGGAAAACTTGAAATTTTGTATTTTTGATTTTTAATGGGCAGAAAGAAGTCTTAAATAAGCAAAAATAAATCTTTCCATAGAATCACACCAAGATTCTATGGCAAAAACTATTAGAGGGTCCCAGAATCTGTTGTAATTCTTTTGTTTTAGTAATAAAGTTAATGAAAAAATAGTTCTTCTAATTTTCCTTGTAGCAAATGGTCATATGACTAAATTTAGGCTAACAAGATATTAATAGAAGCACTGTGTATGACTTCCAGGAAAATTCTGAGATCTTGTAATATTAATATAGTGTCCATTTAAGATAAAAGATTTTAAAGAATACAGAAGAAATGATTTTTAAAAATGGTTTCAAGTACAGAATTTTCTGTAATACAAATAGCCGGAGAAGCTGAACAGCATTTATATTTGTTCTTATAAAACTAAATTGCACTAGATGCATTTCCTGTGCTGTTTCCTTTGTCAAATAATACCAAAGTCCTCCGCTAGCATTTTGCTTATAATGACTACTATGAAATGACCTGTATACTCCAACATTGTTATTTGAATACAATCTCAGGCCCAGCATTGTGGAGCACAGAACCTGTACTGGAAGTTCTCACCAACCCCTGATTGCTAAGGACAATGGGTGGAGCCCATGGAAATTCTATGGCTGCTTTTAGCTGCAAATTGTACAAAAGCTTACCCAAAGTGGCTTAATGATAAAGACACATGTTATTTCATATAATGAAAGGTCTGGAGGTATGAATTTCCAAGGTGGGTTAAATCAATAGCTCAATAAAATCAGAGTTCTTGCTGATCTTCCTGGTTTGTCCCTATTGCTGTTAAGATGACAATTTGCTCCCAGCACAGGACCTCATACAGCAACATCTAAGCAGGAATAGAAACCCTGTCCCTGAATGTTCAACCACCATGTTTGCTTTCAATTCCTCTATTTAAGTAACTGCTTAATGGAATCATTGACAAGTTGTGGTCTTGTTTGGCTCAGGCAAACCTGTGCAGCTCTTTGTGGATTGGGGAGGTGTCTTTGTGTATCCACAAAATACTTTTAAAATGGTGTTGATTAGCAATAAATTAAAGATTGAGATTCTAGATGTGAGACTGGTAAGTGTATGTCATGCTAAATGATGATAAAAAGAGCAGATAGGTTTTTTAAAGTTTCTCCCCCATCCATGTAGATATTTTATACATGCAATTGCTAAAAAAAAAGTGGACTTATTTCTAGAACAAAAAATAGGAAACACACATCTGAGTAAGATGTAGATGTATATATTGCACAATGAATGTTAAAGTATTGCCACATATCATAAAATGCACTAGAACATGATAGAAATTCTTCAAACAATCACTTTTTTGAAAGTATTGACAGCTTTAATGGTACTCTTTTATGTAATGGAAAACAAAATTAGAAAGTCATTTTAGGTAGACCTTTTTGTAAAGCCCAGCAGTAAACGTGTCCCTTCTCTGAATATGAATGCTTCATTGCTCTTTCTGAAAAGGACAAATAACTCACAGAAAATGTTCAGCTAAATGATATTTTATGGTGGTGTCCCTGCAAGGGCCTGTCTGCCCCTTTTGGGAGCAAACAGAGATGGAACGTAATGAGCTATACTGACTTGAACCTGTTCTCTTTCCTAAAGGCTCAATTCCAAAAAGACACTTTGGTGCTAGGAACCATTGTTGCTATGTTTCCTGATAATAAGAACAAGAAGCTCTACAAAACAGGTAAGGATCAACATGATACAAAGGGTTTTTAATCAGTTATTAACAATACAATATAACATGTGATGTGATGAAGATTCACCTGCAAGATTTTTTTAGTTTTTACATTATCTAAAAGAGGTTGGAAATAGTCTCAATTCACAGACAAGTAAATGAAGGTTCAGAAATCTTATGGATTTATGGTCATATTGTCAGTGGGTTGAAGACACAAAAGTGTTACAAATCCCTTACATTTTATAGATAAGAAGATTATAGAGTTTCATGTAAACTTAGGTCATTCTAATTCCAAAGCCTGTATACTTTGCAGTTTTTTCCATTGTTATATGCTACTTCTAATCAATTTTCATTCCTGGGTGTAGTGGAGTAAACCCTAAATTCAATGTTGTTGTTTTTTTTTAATGGACCGTGTAGTCATACATAATGATATCAGAACAAAACTTATAAGATTATTCTGATGTAATGTAATTTCTCATGAGGTTCAATAATTATTACAGAGATTTTTTTATTCAAATGTTTCAGAAAAGAACATTTAGATCATTAGGTTATTGATTATTCAGTTTTATTTTAACATTAAGATGAACTGCTTTACTTGCTTATTATTCTCATTGTGGTTTTATAGCTCAGTTTCATCCTTTTTGAGAATGAGATTAGTTGCAGAAAATGGTACCAATGAGCAAATTTCAATTACTTAATAGAACATGAATTCTTTTAACTTGTTTTCGTTGTTTGCTTAAGAGATTTGTTTGATTAAAGAATTAACATTTAAAATGTACATTCTACATTATTTCACAATTCATTTCTCTTCTCTCTCATATACTTATATCACAAGGCTGATTCAAGTTCTTGGGGGAACAATAAGTTGATTCAGTCCTTTGAAAAACTAAGTTATGCCTCATTGTTTTTCTGTCCTTTCAACCTAGAATTTATTCTGAATATTTCAGAAAATTCAGACTATCTTCTTCTTTAGTGGAATGGGCAGACCTTGTGTAGACCCAGGTCCACTCAGCTGTGACTGCTGTGTTGCTGGTGATGCCATATTGAGACCATGAGCTTCACTTTGACACTGTCTTGTTCTTGCTCATGGGGATGGAAAGAGACAGGAAAGCCTTTTGTCTCCCTTGCTGTAGTACTGCCATGTCGTAGGATTCTCCATCATAGCGCCGGTTAGAGGGAATGTGTGAAACTAACTCCCTATTTCAAGAGATATTTTAAGACAGGTATTTGAAAGTGTGGCTTATAAGGAGTAGAATGACACAATCTCACAGAGAGAAGAGGGCATGAAAGATCACAGTGTGAACATTGTCAGGTTTCAGAATTACTGGCGTTATTAAGACATAGTTGTTAGGCATCCTAATTCCTGTGTCAAGGTCAATGTCAATCCTGTCTCTAAGTGACCTGGGAATCTGCATATTTAATAGACTTTCTAAGTATTCCTTAGTGGGCTCTGAAACACAAAAGGGATTCTACTAAGTGGTTAATGGTATCACACATCTCTAAAACCATCAATTTTGAAAATAAAAATAATTCTTGGATGATAATTTTCATTACAGTCTGGGTAAAACCTAAGCAGACTATTTTAGGATTAAATACCCACTCTGTCTTCAAAGTGAATGGATGGATTGCAACCTGATTTGATTTTCCCTTGAGCAGACATTCTTTGACTGTGTCTCTGGGGAATCAAAAACTGAAATGAAACATGGGTCCTTTTAGAGGACAGCTTCTGTGTCCAAGGAACCTTCATTCATCTGACTTGAGGCAGATATCATAGTCTTCATGAATTGCTACCTGGTCGTTCTTGACAGTGCATCTGAAAAGTGAAAGAACTTTCCCCATCATGATTCTAGTACAGATGAAATGAAAAACGGTGATTTTCCCTCACCTTCTGGGTAATTTAACTGATGTGTCTGTTCTAGCATTCAAGCACTGCGGTAATGGGCGCCATGTAAATATACAGATAGCTTGAGAGAGACTATTTTATTCATATAATTGAATTACTCCTTGGTTCACCCAATGTTAACAATGACTTGAAACTCTCAATCATTTAAACTATCTTACATGTTATAGCAATTTTTAGTTTTTAATTCACTTTCACATACACTGTGAGGAAGTTCATGTTTAATGAAGATTCTGTAATTGACTTTCACGATTTGAGAACACAGGGCCAGTCAGAGTTGGGATTCCAGTGCTTGCCTAGAGACTCCAAATGTACTTCTCTTTCAAGAATATGAGGAATATGTAATCAGTACTTCCAGATTCTTCCAGCTATGATAAAAGTCATCCTTCCCCCATACTTGTTACTATGGTTTATGACAGACTTTTTTTTTTTTTTGGAATAATTAGAATATGTAGAATTTATGTGAAAGTGAGGACGAGTCATTGTTATTTTGCTTAACTGTTTTTTGATGATCTGAGAACCTTCTTGGATGTCAATTTGTGTAACTATATCATGTCTTGATTATTATAAATAGGACTCCAATTTTTTGAGTAAGATCACTGAATAGTTACCAAGTTGACTTCAGTCACAAGCCTGTAGAATCATGAGACTATCTGGCCAAATACCATTTCATATAGAACTAAAGGACTGTGTTGTGCACAGAGCAATAGTGCTTATCAGGACACTGGAGAATATAGAGAAAATCTGGAGAGTGACAGAAAGCAGAAAGGTAAAGAGGATCTGGAGTGATGTGAACCATTAAGCATATGAAGGTATTGTCTGATTCCTTCTGAGTTACATCCAGATAAAGCAGAAATCCTACAGCTAACTGCTTATACAGCAAACATTTGGAAATAAATATGCTCATCTATGGTGTACTGAAAATCACTCCAGTTTCTTGTTTATCATACAATGGAAAGAGATGAAGACAAATGATGCATATAGAAATACTTTTTAAGTGATGGGAAAAGAAAAGAGAAAGGAGATATAAATGTTTTCTGGGGTAAAACTACAATACTGATTTTGTAGTGGTAAAACTCCTACATGCTGGTTTATTTATTCAAGATTTATATACCAATTTAGGAATTATTTTGATGTTTAATTACCAGCTAACAATTTCCTTGTTTATGCTGAGTACATAATGGCAAGGAAAACTACATTAGCTTCTTTTTGATTTAAAAGAAAGAACTTATCATGGCTTTCTAATTAAGCAACTCTCCTGTATGACTCATAGATAGAACATATACCTTTACCCAGTCAAAAATATGTGGAAGTCACTTTTATGTATTATATTTATGACAGATTTCACTTGCTGTCATTATTCATGGAGGATAATAATTATAATTTATTTGAAACTTGACATTTTCCTTCTTTTTGTGGGGGTAGTTTAAGTTGACACATTCAACAGCTAGTAAAAAATTTGGTATGCTATAGATACATCCATAGTATTTATAAATTCTATTTATTTTCCTTGCAAGTATTTCTTCAACATAAAAACTAATCATGTGCATAGATTTACTTAATACATTCTCTGTGATATGTTTCTACATAGTGAATTATAATTATTTAAATGAATTTCCAAATAGACATATTTGCTACTTAGAGTTAACAAATGTCTTGCATTTTTTGTCTGTGGATGTTCTAGCACTCATTATTTCGAACTTTTATGACTAGTTAATAGAATGGAGTGCCATGTCACAATAACCTGAAAGAACCTTGACAGGCATCAAATCATCTCTGTGATATACGGGCATTAATTTTATTCCACAGGATATTTTGTTCCTCATTAGATAATGCTTCTTAAGGGGAAAATACTAACATTGTCAGAATGACATAGATAATGTTCATCTAAGTTAGCTGATTTCTGCAATGATAAAATATTTACTGCCTACAGAAACACAAGAGGTAATATCCTGCTTAATTTTAATTAAAAATTATTACAAATAAGCTCCAACTTTATCTCAGGAACAAATAAACTCAGCTTTGACACCTCAGCTGTGAGATCCCATTTGGTTTCTCTGTTCCTGGTTACCGGAAAGCATTTAGAGAGAATGGTTGATACTTCTAATCCAATGACCTTCTCTGTTTTAGTAACAATAATCAGGGCTTCATCCCCATCAACTCTTTTGAAAATTTATTTTTATGTCACCACTGACTTCTGCTTTACTAAATAGGTCAATTGCCAGTCTGATGATCACTTGATTTATCAAGAAGATTTGACTCAGTGTGCCATTGTCCTTGAAACACTTTAGTCCATTGATTTCCAGATACTATAGCTCTCCTGAATTTCCTCTTCCAACACTGGCCCACTTTCTGTCTCATGTGCTTTGTCCCTTCTTTTTGCCTCTAAATGTTGGATCACCCTAGATCCCCTTTTCTTAATACTCTCTCTAGGTGATTTCAATTAATCCTGTGACTTTATACCAAACATCTCTATGCTGATGGCACCCAAATTTATATTTCTTGAGCTTCTCTCTTTTGACCTGAATATTCAAATGAGCTACATGATAAATCCTTCTGGAATTAATATTGCAAGAAAAGAGCTCTTTGTTTCTTTTTCAAACTTGATTTCCCATTGTTCCCATTTCAATAAATGGTACCACCATTCATCGCCCTTGATTCTCCCACATTATCCAAACCATCAAAAGTCCTGCACCATCTCCCTCAAGAACACAGGGAATTTGATAACCTGGCACTGCCTTCACAGCTGTCATCTTTCTCCTGAACAATTGAAATAATTTCCCAATCCTTGAATTTCCCCCCTTAAAGTTCCTAAACAATATCAGGGAATTTTTTTTTTTTTAATAAAATTTTGATTTACCATTGGTTTATAATACTGTGTAAATTCTGGGAGTGCAACTTTATATGTTGATATATGGCTCCCTGCACCTGCAAAGTTCTAGTACAATTGCATTATTAAACCAACTCCAACTATCCTTTCCTTCCGACTCTTTTTTCCTTTCTCTCTGGTAACCATTTTTGCAGAGTCTGAGTTATTTTACTGTGATTTGTTAATTCATTTACTTTGTTTCCTTATAGTTCTCATAAGAATAAAACCATCCAGTAATCATTCTTTACTTTCTGACTGATTTTGCTTAGTCACCTCAAGTTCCATACATGAAGGCTATGATCCTGTACCTCTAAATTAAATACAAATTGTAAAGCAATGTTTCATGTTTTAATGGCTTAGTAGTATTCCACTGAGTAGATATATCCCATAACTTCTTTATCCAGTCATCTGTGGGTGGGTATTTAGGTGTCCATGATACAGTGAGTGGAAAATCTGCTTAACAAATATGCAGCCTGATCTCATTCTTATTTTAGATTTAAAAAATGTATGTATGCATGTTTGCATGTATATGTATGTATTATTGGTGTATAATGTTGTATAAACATGTACACACATATGTATACACATATATACACAAAGCATGGCAGAGAGACAGACGGATGGGACATTAGTTTTTCCTTGTTCATGCTCAGTAATAGGGGAAAATGCATCGGAAACTTGAATACTTAATAATAAGTTAACTGTGATTTTCTTTGTGAGATGAGAGTGCAGGTAACTTTTGTGTTACATTTTCTAATTATTTAGCAATTAGAAACGTTTGTACATTGTGTTATTTTTTATTTTTTATTTTTTAAGTTATATAGTTAGCTTTATACCCATATTTTCAGTTATTTCTACTAAAGGATATATGAACATAATAAGGTTATTTTATCTTTAGACTTTCACACTCTCCCCACTCCCCCAAAAAGAACACACTTCATACCACATTGCCTAAAATTATGAAATGAAATTCTGGCACAGTCAATAAATAACATGACCCAATATAATAAGCCTTAACTTCTTCACTTTAATTAAGCATTACATTAAAATATGCTACTAAAATGCAAACATTAAGTATATCTTGTCAGAGAATACAACATCCTAATTTCAATATTGAGAATTTTGTCTACCATTTAGCCATTGTACAATTACATGTGACATACATGTTTCAAAATAATATTATCACATACAATTTTTACAGTGAATGAATTCAGACTAGTCTCCAGTTAAGCATTTAGACTGTAATTATTGATCTGTCAGCCAATGTTCCAAGTAAGCAGGAAAACTGGTAATATCCTAGCTTTGTGTGAAATGGAAGTGTATGGGTTTAAAGACTTTATAACACAGCACTATTGAATAGCCTAGATTAAATGTTTCTTGTATAATAGCTTATTCTTAGGAACTATTTTAACTAACATGCAATCTCTCCCATTTTGTGAAATTCCTCTTATCTTGAGTGATTTAGATAAAGGTTCTGGACTCTGGATTTAAAAAACTTCAGCCCTTCCCCATGTGCTCACTGATATCACAGGTGCCCAAACAGCTCTGATCTAGTGGATAGTTAATGAGCAGCCATAACAGACGGAGGAAATAAGAGAATATCTGAGAGAATAAAAATCATCTAAGTTATTAACGAGCACAATTACAAAAGTTAGTGTGAAAATTTAACTGATTATCAAAATTGTGGAATGGTGAGGACAGGACAACTGGCGCCTGGAACCCAAGTCCTAACTCTCAATATCTTACAGTTAGATGCATGAGCTTGACCAAGTCAACATCTTGGGAAATTTATTTTTGTTGACGTAGAAAGACTTTAAAGCAAACTTATTATTAAACCCCTTTCAGATGCATAGTTAAATCAACTGTGACACCTAACTACTCTCAGCCTCTGCTTTGGCAACAGTAAAAAATATCAGTTGTAATACTATTTAAAGCCAAAATACAAACGCATTTTCAAAATGTGATGCAATAAGAACCACCGGAATATTATTATCCCTTGAATGTTTTGCATTTTCTTCCATTAAGAGAATTTTAACCTTCTTCTGATCTAAAATGCCATAGTTTCTTTTTAGTTATGTGATGTTCTCATATTCTTGGTTATTATGAAAATGAAATTCTGTATAAAAACTTACATTTTATTATTGGTTAAATTTCCAGAGAAAAATTGCTTTCAGTAGTGTTTTATAATATTCATAAAGTTCCTATTTTCTTTATTTTGAAGTGTGATATTCTTCAGGTGGTAAATACAGTTTATAAATTAGAAGTTTGATCTGCAAATTGACAAGCTTTTAGTGTCCTTAATTGGAATTAAAAATCCCTTATATTAGAAATTAATACAACTTAATGAACAAATAGCTATTCTAAACCATTCTAAGGAAATTGGGGATGTCATATCCCTTAACTAGATAAATATATTCAAGAGGATATGCTTGATTCTCTCCTGTGGATCTCGGAAAACAAAAAGTCCTAAATTGGCACCCAGCTCACAAAACTCAGATTTATTTCTGCTCCAGGAGAAGAGGTGATTTCATTCCACTAAATAATTTTAGCAGGTTGCTCTAAACAGGAAATAATATAGTATTTATCATAATAAGACAAAAATCACCATATGAGGGAAATAACTTGTTGGATCTTTACCTCAATTTCCCTATCATCCTGCTCACAAACAACACTAAGAAAGTAGTATTTACTTTTCAGGGAGGCTCTCATATGGATTACCTTTGTCTTTCCATTTCAGTGACACAGTCTAGACTGTCCAGAAAAATGGAAATTTCTTCTTGGGTGCTAAAAATACGTAGTGTTAAATAACTATTACCAATGCTCCCTGTTGACCTTAACTTCTTCTCATGCCAGAGTGGGGAAATGTAGGGCCCATGTAGCATTGAACATTTACTAAGTTATTAGGTTCCATATGTTTAATGACTTAAGAGGCGATAAGAAGCCACCCAATAGACAGTGCAGAAGAAATCATCAGGAAGTATAGGGAGCTATTTAATGTGAAATTAATGATACACCATTATGATCTGAACTTCCAAAAGGAGCTGTACTTTTCCCCAAGTTTTTTCACTTCCCTGGAATTTGCAAATATCTTCTTAGTTGAACATAAACTAATTCAATACAATAAACACTTTCCAGTGGATTCTGGTAGGTTTGTATTATGTGGTATAAAGGAACAAATAAGAGAGACTCAAAACCTCATGGTGATAATACATATTGCTGGTGATGGTTTCATTAAGTATTCCCCAAGTTCTGGCAGTATAGAAAGGCTTCCAGTTTTGTTTATGAGATGTCTTTTGTCTATAACACTAAAATGACCTTACAAAACGATCCATGATATTTTCTTATCTGGCACATATACTGCAGTAGGAAGGCAAAACCGTAGTGTGAGGTCTCTTGAGGGACTGTCTCCAAGTGTACGTACGTTTCATAACCCACTGGGTTTTTTTGACATTCTAATACTAGATACGAGATGTCTGACTGACTCCTTAGATACGATGAATTCTTATTTCATTTTACAGATTTAATGAAATCCACTATCTTTAATAACAAACAACTCTATCTTAAGGGATATATAATCTCTAAACTACTATACATGATTTAGGATATGGGAGGTAAGATCTACACAGAGGTTTTAACAGAACACAATTCTCTCTAGATCACCTGAAAGCATGAAAAAAGCATAGATTCTGGAGGGAGATGGGGCTAATTGACACTCAGTCATGTGCAATATGTACGGCAAGTTGTTCATTCTGAGCTTCGGGATTTTTATCGGCAAAATGAGACTAATAACCTCTACCCTAAGTAGTTATAAAGATGAGAAATGACATTTGTAAAGACCCAGCAGAGAGAATATAATAGGTTCTTAATAAGTAAGAATTATTCACATCCATCATCTCTGCATTTCATTGTTGGCTGAAGCAGCATTTCAACTCCAACAGCATACACTTGGTCTGTAATAACTAGCAGACCAATTCAAGTATAGGTACAATTAATACAAAGACATTTAGAGATCAAATAAATAAACAAAGGCTCTTTGGACATTTTTTTACAAATTACCTTCCCATACAGCTGACTCCTAAATATTAACTACAAAACGGGATATGTTAAGAGGTCAATTGCTTTAATCACCTTCATGACTTTAGTTTGGAAAATAACAGTAGCGATAATGACCTTGATCTCTTGTGGGATTTCCATATTAATGTGCAAGCACATCACTACTGTGAAATGGATATCTTTTGGTAGCACTGAAATAATAAACAAATTTAGAAAATAATAAAAAATTTAGAAAAATAAATTTCAGAGGTCAGCTCATTAGAAAGTGCTTATGATTGTCACAGAAGCTTGGAAGGAAAAAGTACACTCACTCATTAAAACATAAGGCTAAATTCTTAAAACAAGATGTTTTGATGATTAGAGTTCTACTGAACTACTGCTTCAATGGTCTGAATCCTTAACTTCCACAGTACAAATGCAAGAGCTTTGAGTCAAAAATTAGTTTAAAAATAACCTATGCATTCTCCACAGCACCTATTCATGTTAAAACCATTATCTAGATGAACAAGCATTCACACATTTAATTAATTGTATGATTATGGTACCTAGGTAGACTTTCAACTTCCTTATTGGAAATAAACATACTTAAATAACACATACAACTTAGTGGGAGGGATCACGGGTCATCTGTTTTAAGAATGATCAGGATATGACAGAGGGTTATTAATTTTAATGTGAAGAGCAATCTAGTGGTTTTCATTTGAGGCAGTTTATCTATAGCTCAAAAAAGGCTTGAATGATTAACTTAAATATATCTTTTTCAATGTCAATAGAAGTGCTGACATTTGATTATGATTGACTCTTCTAACTGTAATAATTGAATGAATAGTTTTATACCCATGGCTAAAATTGGTGAATTGATAACTAAATAATGTAAAAATGAAGAATTATCAAAAGACCCTTGAGAACACAGTTCTGCTTGGAGGGTTCCACGGAGGTAGTGCCTCGTTTTCAAGAAAGGAATTCCGTTTCTTTTGTTTTCGTTCAATTCTTTCCTTCCTTTCTTTCTTTTCCTAAAGATAAAACAGAACACCATAAATTTATATACATATATGAACATTATTTCCAAAATAAGTTGCTTGTTGAATAAGAAAATAATCCAGAAAAAGATGTTCAAATGTTATTTCCTAGTTTAGTTGATTATAAAGAAAGAGCATCCAGGGAATATTGCTAATTTATATGTATTCTGCCAACAAGCATTAATGCTCACTTATACTTTTTATATTAAATATGTTTAAAAATTATGTGAAACAGGGAAAAGAGATCTACAGTTCCATAAATGAAAAGAATAATTACTAGAATTTAGTGATGACTTTTTGAGAGCAGATTTTAAGAAGTAAATATATTGGCTGCAAAGACTGAATATGTGCTGGCAATACAGCTGCCTCAAATTTTTCACCAACAGTTGAAAATGGAGTTTCATGTTTCTCTTTATTCCTGAGCTTGAGTACATTTTCCATTTTTAGTCTTTTTGTGAATTTTCTGGTTATTTGGCTCATCTAACTGATCAGGTAGATGCCTTTATATTTTTTAGCAACTTGCTTATATTCCATGCATTTATTATCTTTGCCTCAAACATTTTATTTATATTACGTTTTTTAGTGCTTAGTTTTTACAAGAAAAGGTAGTAAGAAGCATTTCAGCCACAGAGTACTGCTTAAAGCATAAAATCAAAATCTGTGCCCCGCTGCTATCTGCTTATCAAAGAGAAGGCCAGGCCTTTTGGAGCCCCATGTCTACTGCCCCCCATGTCTACACCCCACCCAGGAACATGCTCTGAATTTGATGCACATTTCAGTGCACCTCCTAGTGCTTTTGTTGCTTATGCATTCATCCCCAAACCACAAGTAATTTTGTTTTGCAGATTTTTAGAATTCATACCAAAAAGCATCATGCTATAATCTTGTGCAGCTTCCTTTTTAAAATTCGTATTTCACAGTTCCGTCTGTATCAAGCGAGCTCAAGCTCTGGTTCAGAATCCTGGCACATAAGCATATCACAATTTGTGATCCTTTTTATTGAAGACATGATGTTCTCATTTTTTTTTTTTTTTTCTATCAAAGACAACAGTGTGCTAAACACTACTGATCCCTTATGCACACGGACCGGGCCCTCCTCTCCATCTCTAGGCCTAGGAGGGAAATCGTTGATTGTAGGGTGTGCAGATGCTTGGCTTTCTGGAAAATGGCGATTATTCTCCAAAGAGCAGTAAGAATATCCCCTGCAGTCAGCACTACACTGACCTTTCATTTTAATGTACTAATGCCTTAAATTTGACCTAATTTCCTTTATGATTTCTTATATTGTACTTTTAGGTTGAGAAGAACCGTTAATCCTCATGAGGCTTGCTAAATAATAAATTTTCTTTCTGTTCTTCTATTGCTTGGCATATTTAACACTTTCTTTGGAATTTCTATGACTGTAAGGTAATTCTTTGAAGTGATTTTATATCTAAGTGTTATACAAATACTCTCATTTGTATCCATTAATTCCAGTTGCTTTATTGCATGGTAAGTTCTTTGATGTGTCAGGCTTTGAGGATCTATTATTCTCCTGGTACTACACTGCTTTGATTTGTGTTAATTCATCCAACTGTAGGCACTGAGCTCCTTCTCTGGGTAGAGCAGGGCACTTGGGACCCTGCACAAAGCAATTATAAAATCCAAACACATAGAGCCCCTGCCCCTCAGAAAACTTTCAAAATGAACTGTTCATAACAAGTAAACAACAGATCATTCCAAATTGTATGAATTTCTATGCAACATAAAAACAAACTGTGGTGGGGCCTCCCTGGTGGTACAAGGGGTTAAGTGTCAGCACAATGAAGCTAGCAGCAGCCACTGCAGCACGAGTTCCATCCCCGGTCAGGGAGCTAACCACATAGCACAGCAGAACTCTCCTTTCTCACCTGCTGCTCCCCTCAGCAGTGTATTTCAGTCCATCTGCCTGTTCTGCTCCCCACTCTGTCCCTGGTGAATCCTCTCACCGCCCCCCCCCACCTCTGGCTTACACCCAAGCTCTTGTATGTATAAATAAATGAAATAAATCTTAAAAAAAAAAAAAACCAAACTGTGATGACTGATAAAGAATGACAGGGAGAACTACTTCTTTGCAAAGGAAAGTGGAGCTAAGGAAAGTCATTTCAGAGAGAGACAGGCTGGTAGGAGAAGTCACTGATGACTTGCATGGGGGAGAAGAGACACACTTCTGGCAGAAAGGACAGTCTGTGATGGGAATTACCCAGGTTAAAAGAACACTGACTCACAGGAGTAGGCTGGCAAATTAAATTTTATTGTTTGATATGAATAGTTCTACTTCATTTTATTTGAGAAATAGCCTCTTCCATAGTCTCACATTTTTATTATAGCACATAGATTTTAGAATTATTTTGTTCCTCTGCATCAGCTCCCTTCAAAGAGATGGCTAAGGGTCTGAGGGTGAATATGAAATCTAAATGGTAATCTAGGAATACTTGAAGATTTAACAGCACTTGACCTTCCCATCCTACAGCTTGGATTCTCTCTCCATTTCTTTTAAGTCTTGCTAACTCTGGTGCTTTCCTCATACTGATGATTCCCTCAAAGAGCAGGGGTACCAGACACTTGGACAACACTGTCTCCGCAGTCTGGATGGCTTGGGAGGAGCATGTTTTGTTAAGCTATTAGATGTCCACACCTTTTCATCAGTACATATGTGGAGTGGATCAACGTGACAAGGAGAACATGATAATGCACGGTTTTATTAGCATGCAATGATTCACGTATGACAAAGGTATTATGGACATAGCTCCATATGAGAATGTTTGCATATTTGCTACTCCTATTAAAGCAGGAACCTAATTTCAGAAACCTAATTGAAAAAAACTGTCATTGAATCTGTCAATCATTTTAGAATTCGAGAGAAGGCAGACCAAGCAGCTCTGCTGTGGGAAGACAGTGACTGGACTGTGTCCATAGAAGCTGACTGAACAACCTCTTTTGTGCATTAATTTAACAGGAACAGAGAGAGACTTAAACTAGTTTGATCTTACTGGCAGGCTGCTAAAAAGCCAGGAGAGGCAATTAATTTTCAACCTTTATATCAATTAACATGCATCAATGTCATTTTAATAATTAGAAGAAGCTTGTAAAGTACTTCTGTTGTCTGTTGAAGATAGAATCTTTTGCTCATTTTCTTATTAAAAATAACTATGAATTAATCTGGGAACCAGCATGAAGAAGACATTCTAACCTGATCTTTGGCTATACGTTTCCCCTAAAACAATTACCCATCAGATGTTCATGAGCCAAGCCAGGATGAATATCAAAATTTTGAAATGTAACTATACTTCTATATATGGAAGTTTTTTCCATTCTATTTGCAAAGAAATTTCAATAAGAAGTTGGTATTATGGGGACTAGATCCATAACATGTTGTATATGGTGTTTTTATAAACAGCAGTCTATTTGTAGAGGTTATACTACATATCAAAATAAGTTATTTTGTCTTAAGTCTGGCTGATGAAGTATTGGTCTCCAGAGGACTGATTAGAATAAGAAAGTGACAAATACTATCTTAAAACAAAAAGGACCTGTGATTTAGTCATGTAGGAAATTCTATCTTATTTTCAAGAGAATGTGAAAATCAAACAGAAAACTGAAACACATGAATTACTCTAAGTTTTTCTAGCAGAGTCAATATACAGACTCCTAATAGAAGAAGACCTTTATTTTTTCTTAGAACAAACAATATTTGAGAGTTTACCCCAAGGAAGTTACCACAAAATATTACTACCTTCCTCATTCAAACCATTGAACAAACTTTGATCACCTTATTTTATTACTATTTCTTTGCATGGATTTAGTATATGGCAGTACTAAAGTCAACAAATAAACAACAATGAATTCTGTTGGCATTTTTATTAGGATTGCAGTTAAATTTGTAATTAATTCAGGAAAGTTAACATTTTTATAACATCATCATAAGATTGGGCGATTCTATCCAAGAGCAATTGTGTTCCATGCTTTCAAGTCTTCATTAGTATCCTTCAGGAATGCTCTAAAGTTTTCTTCATATTGGTCTTGCCCATTTCTTAAGTTTATTTCTAAATGTTTTACTTTTTTATCCTATCTTTAAAATAGCCTTCTTTGGGTACCATTTGTCTCTCTCTAGCTACTTTTAATTCTAGACATTATGTGAACAAAGAAGCAATAGTCAGAAATATTTTAGAAGGCCTACAGGGGGAAATTAACCTCAGCAGATGTGAAGCCTCAACAGTGAAACTGTGGTAATGGAACATGCACAATGACACTGACCAATGGGGCAGAAAATCAAGAAAGAGATCCCACAGGTGCAGGAACGTATAAATAAAAGCAGTATCTCAAATTAGAGGGTGAAGACAGGCTATCTTATAAAAGATGCATTTGGAAATAATAAAGTTGGAGTCATATTTCTCACCATACATCAAGATAAATTATAAGTAGATCAAATGTTAAGACACTGAAAACATAAAGCTATTAGAAGAAAAGTAGGCATACTTTGTTCAACCTCAAATTATGGAGAGAGTATTTTCAACTATGCCTGAAAATCAGAAGCCAGAAGAAAAAAGATTGATAAATTTGATACCTCAAACTAAAATTTGATTCTTCTTGGCATAAAAGTTGAGAGGCCACCAATATAATGGGAAATACACTTGTAAACCATATCAAAAATGATAGGCTAATATTCAGAGTACATTAAAACAAGAATCATTATAAATCAGAAGAAGACCATAGAGAAATGTACAGTACAGAGTCTATGAATTGATGCTTTAGATGAAGGAAAAAACACAAGTGGCCCCCAGACAAATGAAAAGATGCCCAGGCTCAGTCTCAGCCAAAAAAACACAACCACAAAATTCCCAGATTGCATTTTCTAATATAGCAGGATGGCATGAGTTCAAATAAAGTCTGATAAGAAACCCTGTTGAAAGAAACCCCATAGGATCCTAAGCCCCACAGAAACATCTTTCTTACACTTTTTGATGGTTGCATCATGTACATCTGTTAACCACTCTTGTGCACATATCACCTACTCATATAAAGTATCTATTAATATGGAGGCACTGCTTATTCAAAAGTTAACAAAACACATTTATTTATATTGATTTTAAAATAGAAGATATTACAAAACACCTACACAAGACTGTCTCCTTGAGATCATCAGAAAGATTAAAAGACATGAAAGTGCATTCATTTTCTCACCATTGAATTCAATGTCGTTGTAAGTCATGACCAAGGTTCTACCTAAAATAATCTGGCTGCTGTCACTAACACAACTGTCAGCTTGCTATGGTTTTAGATGTGGGAATAACTGGCAAGGAAGAACGGGCATGACAGGGGGTGACCCATGTGGATATATATGCCGGAAGAACATTGTGACTGAAGTCTTAAGCCTGAGTGCCTTAGGGAACTGTAGACCTATTCACAGAAACGAGTAAATCAAAGAATCTATGCTAGATGGAGGGGTGAATGGATTTAACAAGGCAGCTTCCAGGTAAAAATAAGACAAACGGAAGTGGAATTAGGGACAGAAAAGTCACCCAAAAAATGCACTAAAAAGAAATATGTGCATTAACAAATAATACCTACCAGCCATTTTTCATATTCGTCAATAGCTTGTTTATCTTTATCTTTTTTCTCAGCTCTTTTCAGTTCTTCCTTTCTTTTCTCATTTGTTTTCTCCTTTTCTTTTTCTTTGAAAAAAGCTTCTTTTTTTTCATTCCTATGTAAGATAATATAAAACACTGGAAAGTTAAAGGGGAATATAAAGAGTCCCGAATATATCTTTGCAATAATGAGGTTGAGATGCATTTATAAGTTTCAAGTAAATAAATTTTAAAAAAGCTAGTGGGATTCATTTAAAATCTATCGAAATATTTGTTATTTTGGATTACCATTTCTCCACAGCAGTTAAGTTATCTTTCCTTTTCTCAGCAACAGTTTCCTCCTCTTTCTGTTTCTTTGCTCTTTCATATTCTCTCTCCTTTTTATTTTTCTCCTTAAGATATTCCATCTTTTTCTCTTTCCATTTTTCAAAAGCCTGAAAAAGTTCAGAATGATTTTATTTATTTATTCTTTTATTCTAAAAGAAGCAAGGATACAGTAATAAGTACCTTATTACTTTACTTCAATCTAAAATCCTCAATATTCTATATTGGCCTTAAAATACTGCACAAGACATAAAGTTTTATAATGGAGATAACATAATTTAGAAGCAATTACTAATTGTGATCCCAAATATTAAACAATAATTAGGAAAGGTCAGCAAAGCCAGAAGTACTTGGAGCGCCTCTCCTTTCCGAGCGGCATTTTCTTCTTCAGTTTTCTTCTTGTTTTTTTCCTCGAGCCTTTTTTTTGCAGCTATTTTCTTTGCTTCCTTTTCTTTCATAGCCTTCCAAGCCTCAAATGATGCTAATGCCTCTTCTCTCTTAGCAGCTCTTTTCTATTTTGGAGAAAAAAACAGATCTGTAAGTCTAAATAAATAGGTAAATACAGATAGTTACAAGTATATACACGTACATTTGTCTTTAATTCCCTTGATCACCCTATACAGGCATTAAGTTTCAAAGCTAATAATATATTTACAATGCTTTAGAAAACATAATTTATAAAAAAAGGCTGAATTATTCATTGCCATTTAGAATTTTCTTTTCTAAAAGCATTTACTGGGCACGTCTGTACCTCTATTCATGGGAAGGAAGTCAATTTTTTTTTTGAAGTGTACTAAACAAATGTTATCAAAACAAACTGTCACAACGGAGTGGTACTTTCAAATGTTCATAATAAAATATTTTAGTAAAAGGAAAATAACAGGAAAGTTTAAGTCAGAGTAAGCTTAACTTGCAAGATTGGCCAAGTCACACAAATCAGCCCCATATTTGGTTTACGCCTGAGTTTTGACTGACATCAAAGCATGAAATTCTCACTATGAATATCTTCACAATGTGGAGCACGCGTGCACATTGGAAAAGATGCAGGGAGTTGTAGCAAGTATCTTATTACTTTAATCTAAAATCCTTAATAGTCTATATTTGCCTTAAAATACTGCATAAGATATAAAGCCTTATTATGGAGATAACATAATTTAGAAGTAAAATCACTGCCTCAAGTCACTACGTTGTGGTGTGCCCTGTACATAGGTGGGGGCAGGCGCCCCCTGGTGGCTGCTCCACACAGTACAATATGTTTGGGAAACAAGTCTTGAACATAGACACAATGGAATATTACTCAGCAATCAAAAAAGATAAAAACATGCAGTTTGCAGCAACATGGATGGAGCTGGAAGGGATCATGCTGAGCGAAATAAGTCAGAAAGAAAAAGAAAAATACTGGATGGTCTCACTCATAGCAGGAATTTAGAAAACTTAAATAAGGGACCAGGAAAAAGACTAATTACTACAAAGTAAAAATCAAAATCAACAAGCAACTATAAACCAGAGACACACTGCAGGGGAAGAGGGGCAGGAAGAGGAAGGATTAGGGTCAAAATAAGGGGGGGGTGCAATTGTATGGGGAATATAACCAAAATGAAAATGCATACATTGTGCAAAAAAGAAAAATGATGTAAGAATTATACTTGATCTTAGCCAAAAGGCCAAGAAGCAATAATGTAAGAATTATATAAAATAAAATATTAAAAAACAACAACAACAAAAAAGTACTGTGGCAGGCATTATCAACTTTATAAAGGGACTAAATATATTTTGAGATATTTAATTATATTCGTATTCGCTGTACCTACATTTCAAAACTATTCTGACATTAGGAAAATATTTTAAAGATAGAAACAAACTGTTTTTTGGTTATTAAGGGAAGCCATTAAATACTGAAGTGAATTTGATATGCAGAGATATAAATGAATGTTACATATTTATTAACATTAAAATAAAACAAAACGAAACAGCACAATGAATGTGCTTTTTTTCAGGGATTTTATTTAGAAAATGGAAAAGCACTGGACATGTTGTCATCTAAAAGCAGGGAGTTGGGGTAGAGATGGAACACAGGAGGGGTTGAAACAAGAGTCCAGCTCCAATCAGTTGGAAATATACCTGTCAAGAGTGTAGATAGTGATATGAAATTCAAGAGAGATTAGAGAGAAACAGAGTGGGAAACTCCCATGTTTTTAAGCTGCAAGACCGACACCAAATTTTAAAGTGAAGTAGGTAACTATTCCCAAGCAGTAAATTAGTAGTACCTAATTAAGAGTACCAGTCATTCTATACATTAAGAAAAGTCAGTGTTAGTATTTTTATGTAAAATGGTTATATTTACTACAGACTAAAAATATATAAAGTACCAAAGAAATAAAACAGAAATCAATTCATGTATAGACAACGTATGTTGTTATTTAAAAAGCAGTTGATTTAGAGATATTAAATATTCAGAGATAGTTTACTGACAAAAATCTAGAATATTTTTCACTTTTATGCTTCAGAATACCTGTTCATTTTGGATCCTTAAGTTTTCACTTTCAATCCTTTTAATTCTGTGCATTTCATGTAAATATACATTTTTCTTTTCTAACCATTCCTGTGAGAAAAATAAATATATGATAGTCAAAGTTTCCCAAATGACTTAGAATTCTTGTTAGTAAAATAGGTGATTAAAAACTAAAACACCAAAACAGGTAATTTATAAATTCTATATAAACTAGTATCATTTTTCTTTTTCTGATAATATTCTGATAAACTACAAATGACAGCTATATATATTAACATTCTTTGAAATTCACATGCATAATTTTCTAAAATATACTTAGTCTGTATAACAAACAAGAGGAATAAAGAACTCTTAGAATTGTGAAAAAAGTTAGAAAAATCTTTTTCTGTGTAAGCCTAATCCAAATATAAAGTCTCAGGAAGATAAAATTTTATGAACTCTCTGTTCATAACAATATAAAGTTTAAAAAGTATCAATATAGAGACAACATCATTTTTGCTTTGGGTATGTTTTATGAATTGCCATGGAATATTGTATTTATTTTTAAAAGATTTTATTTATTTTTGTATAGAAGAACTGGGGTGTAGGCCAGAAGTACGGGGATAAGAGGATTCACCAGAGACAGAGTGGGGAGCAGAACAGGCAGACTGACTGAAATACACTGCTGAGGGGAGCAGCGGGCAAGACAGGAGGGGTCTGCTGTGTCATGTGGGCAGCTCTCTGGTCTAGGATCAAACTCAGGCCACCACAGAGGGCCATCGTTGTGGTAGCACTGAGACTTAACCTGTAGGCCATTTGGGAGGCCCCTTATTTTATTTCTTTAAAGACAATTATGATCAGCTAACCAAACCTTGGGAGGAAATGATTTAGTAGAGAAAGCCTTGGATTGCTCACATATTATGAAGGAAAATCATTTCCAATTAATTAAACTATTAAACCATTTCTGGCCAGAACATTTTATTCCATGACAAACAGGTAGCCTTATGCATGTGATTTATTTTTCTAATTTTAAAAAATGTTTTCTTTTTACCTGGTAAACTGCTGCCCTTATGCTATCTGCTTTGTCAGGTTCTATGCTCTGTTTCCGTGAGGGTTTTTGGTCCAAGACTTTCAAAGTCCCTAAGTAGTGAGAAGAGGTAGTTGCCGAGGAAATTCTCCTTATAGAACTAGGTTTCTTTAAAAACTCTGAGGTTATTAATCTGAAAAGACCCAAAAGAATCTGGATGAAATATTACAACTTCACTTGTGAGACCAAATATTACAACTTCACTTGTGAGACCAAAGATCCAACTTTGTATTTGAAGATGACATATAACTTAATAAATTATAGTTACTTTGAAAGAGTTATAGTCTTAGTACACAAAGAGTACCATTCAACATAATTTAAATTTTATAACTAAGTTTTATAGCTTCAGAGAGATTTCTCTTTTTAGGTATTTGTAGTTAGGATATTTTTAAGAAACATGAACTGTTTTAATGCTTTCTTGTATCATATTGTTACATAAACCAGTCTAAACATAAAGTCAGAACAGTATCCTTGCTTCCAGCGGCTAGAGGGAAAATCTGATTCACCATCTGTTTTTGGTAAGTAAAGTTCATTGTACTGGAGTCAGATTCACTCATTTACATATTGCCTTGCTCCTTTCTTGCTACAATAGCAGAACTGAGTTATTACAACAATATAGAACGCAGGGCCTTCAAGTTGACAAAATGTTCTGACTAGCAATTTACAGAAAAAGTCTGCTGACCCCTGTTCTATTTTGTTCATGATCATTTGGTTAATGATAATTTAAAAGATTCAGAAGGTTTTGATGAATATTTATGGGTTAGGCATTCATTATGATCACTGTTGCTGTGACTATATAGATTCTTATTTTAATAAACCAGCTTAGTCCACAGGACCTCAAGACTTTAAGCACAGATTTGTACGTGCTAGAAAATGACATGTAATAGAGAGGTAGCTGCTGGACTGCAGCTTTATGATGGCTTTTCATCAAGTGTCTCAGGTAAAACAGGGGAAGGAGACACTACCTGGGAGCAAGACGGGGCATGGGGAATCCCTAATCAGTTATTTTTCTTGTAAAAATACAATCAGCAGAATACTACTGTAATTTATCTCATGATACAGACATTGAGAGAAAATCAAGTAATACCAAATTAAATTTACTTTAAGGCTGTTCAATTAAAACCAGCTTCGTTGGAATATAAACCCCATAAATGAGGGATATTGACAACTTTATTACCTGCCAGATGCACTGGATGCTCTATTATTTGTCGACTTTTTATTCTTCATATTTCTATCTTCAATTGTTTTCTATTAAATAGACAAAGCCATAAATAGATTACTCTCCGTAATGATCACAGCTAGACTTAGAGGCAAAACTGCTAGAAAACTATTTTTAAGTATCTAGTAGTATCAAGTATAGTAGTCACTGGGAACAAATAAGAGATGCACCCTTAAGGGTATCACTTTAGAGAGGGGGTGACCAATAATAAACCCACAAACAAATGTGTCTCATGAAGGAGATAAACAGTGACAGGGGGACTAGGGTGCAGTTGTCAGGGCCACTCGATGAAGGTGCTGGAGGAGGGGTCCCTCACATCCGAGCAACACAAATGATGAATGGCAAGTGGCCATGTGAAGGTCAATGGAATAAATGAAATAGGAAGTGCTAAAAGAGCCTGAAAAGGGGAAGAGCTTGATAATTTTGAGAAAAGTAAAAGGCTAAAGGACACTGAAACACAGTGAATGGTGTGGAGGGGGAAAGATGAGGTGGTATGAGAACAATCATGTGAGATCTTTACGAAGAAGAAAGGAATTTATGTTTTATGATGAGAATCCAACAGAGACTTTAGCAGAGAAATGATTAGATTCATATTTAAGAAAGATCATTCAGTATAGAATGAAAGTCTAATTTATTCTAATTTAGAATTACCTCTATTAGACAGTTCTAAGATCTTCTCTTAAACACCAGAATACCCTTCTTCCTTTTAAGGAAGACAGATGGGTGTTAGCAGTGATGTAAACACATCCCTAATTTGTCATTAGTGTTTTTTTCAAAGGAAAGTAGCTGAGGACAATATAGCTCAAATATCTTTCAATGAATTCTCTCCATATATGTTAATTTGAAGCAAATATTCTGTTATAAAATTACTGTTCAACCAATTTTCAGCTAGAACTGTTGTTTTCTCCTGCTAACTGACACAAAAGAGATAGAGACTAACTTCAGGAGAAATAAAGATTAAAAATAATATACCATAAATTAAAAAAAAAATTAAAGCATAGGACTCTGCTGCAATTTAGTGTAGAGACAAGTAATCCCATACACCACCACAAATTTGGTTCTCAAGCTTATAAAAACATTCCTGATCATGAGCCTGCCCATCCCTTTAAAGAAGCATGGATGTTGATACATGTTTCTTAAAGATTTTCATTAACAGTTTTAAATCTTTACAAATGATATCCACAAACTGTTTCAGATAGCTGCATTTTTATACCATGAAGACCTAGAGAAACCTCTATACTTATGGGAATGTATTTCTGAGATATTTAAAAATATTGAGGTCCGTTTGTTGGTGGTGAAAGGCACCAGAACTAAGGTAGTAGCTGTGATATGGACAACACATACTCAGGTGTGAATTGTGCTCCTGCAGCTTGGACAGTATTGTAAACAGACCATACTGTAAACCAAAGGTAAATCAATTTTTATTCAATTTATTAGAAAAAAGTATATTATGATTTAAACTTCTCATAATTTCTAGTGAAATACTGTGCTTATATTCGCTGCAAACCATCCCTGAACTTAAAATTCTACTGAATTAAGTAAGAATCTTTTGACAAAATATTACCATGATTAACAAATGAGTTTTCCACAGAGGACTCAGAAGTATATAATATAGAAGTTAAAATATTTCAGTTTTATTTCAAGTTTTAAGCTGTAGTTTATAGGAGGTATAATTTTATGAAATACCTTTGTGGATTCAGCTGCACTGTTGGATATTAAGATACTCTGAGACTGCAATTGTGGGACATCAGCTGTTGCGTCGTCATTCACATTCACTTCAGTCTTCTTTTCTTCTTCAAGGTCATCAGTAGTCACTTGACTTTCACTGGATTTCTCAAGTGCAATAGTAACATCATCCAATAATGAATTCTCTTCATTTTCATTTGATTTCAAGGAATTTTGGGTTTCACTGAATTCTTCATTCTGATCTATTTTGAGACAGAATCACAGCATTAAAACTCCCTTCTGAATTAAGATTTATTAGCTTTACACTAAAAGAGGCCTATCTGTAATCCCTTTTTTTTACAAAGTAAAATATGAAAATGGTCACATAAATTGATAAAGCTTCTAAAATGATCTCTGAAAGAGAATGCGGCCACTCAGTCTTCTAGCATTTGACAAACTGAATACTTATAAACATACTTTTTGTTAGTAAATCAGATGAAATAACTACCCTATGTCAAAGACGCAAGAAAACATGTTGATGTGTAAAGCAGGTGAGAGGCCGCCTCTGCTCTGTTCAAGAGCCTGTGTTTTTGTATGAGTGGAGGACGCGCTTCTGTGCTGCTGAACTTACTAGAAGTACAGCAGCCACCCTGCGGAGACCAGTGAGAAGGCAGAATTCACGCAAGCTGGGCAGGGCCACCACTCGGACCAGAGGCAGCCTCTGGACAGTTCTCTCTCTGCTAAGAGGCAGCGCTGGCACCGACCCAGGGCACAAAGGCAGGGGCTTTTCTTCTCAGTGCCCTGAGGAACAGGCTCGGTCTCTGCCATGAGAGGATTCAGTGTTGCTTCTATGGAATTGCTTCTGTTCTGACTCTACCATACGTTGGAAGGCTCAAGAAAAAGAAGTCAGTGTGTTCTGTGTTCTTCCCAATGAGCATCTTCCTCTTAGACAAACCTAATCTGCCAAACCAAACAGGGGTGTTAAAGTTCTAATTCTACTGCTTTCATTACAGCCATTTTGGGGGAGCTTGTTTGGAGGCAGGCTAGATGGCAAGTGACTTTACAATCATATTATACATTCACATGTGGTGGGTGCTCATCATCCCAAGTGTCATGGGATTCTTTAGAGCTGCCAATCAATGAAAAGAACATGGACTTTGGGGCCAAAGATTCGAATTATGGCTCCATCCCTGACCCCGGGAGTGCTTCCCAATATCTCCACGCCAGCTTTTGTCAGCTGTGAAATGACAAAATTATATGATAAAGCAAGCACTTAATAAATATTAGTTATACACCCCCGTCGAGGAAAGCCATGCCTTTTAGCTCTCTTAAAGCTCCATGTCAGAGAACTAAGGAAAGAAACAGCTTTAAGGACACACATTTTACATTTACTATGCACTTGCCATGGTACACAGTACACACATGCCAGCGTGTGACATCCGGTATTAAGTCATTTAATCCTCACTACCATCCCAGGAAGTCACTTACTGTTATTACGTCTATTTTAAACATTAACATACAGGCCCAGAGAGGTTACTTAATTTGTTTATGCAGTGGTGCCTGGATTCAATTCCAGCTTAGTTCTCACTTTAAAAGTGCACCTAAAATTTATGTTGTATAGACAGCAAGTCCTCAAATAATGTAGTTTTGTTCAGTGTGCTTTGTTATCACATTAATGAGAAAAAAAGAGTCCTGGCCCATGTTGAAACCAGCAATACCTGAGGACCTGAGTTTGTTATACAATGTTCTCTTTAAAGTTGCAGTTTCCAAGAACCTTTAAGTGAGGACTCTGCAGATACTGGGGCGCACATGCATGGGAAGGTTACAATAGTGATCACTACTTCTGCCTGGACTGGGTTCACACCAGCCTGATGAGACAGGTCTCATTATAATTTGGGGAAAATGAGGCAATGAAAGATTACATGAAATCTTTAATTTGAAATCACAGGGTTAGTGAATGGTATAGTAATTACACAGTAAGTTGAAACTCATGCAAATGCATACATATATTTTTCTTGTAACTGTAAAAAACCCTTTCTTTAACAAATGGAATCCTAAGCCATACAGAGTTTAAAAATAAGATATAAGAATTAGATACAACTACCTCGTATAGAAGCTTTTTCTCCAGATCTTGGTGAAAAGGAATCTTCAAGACTTTCTTTAAGAGATGATGATGATAGACGTGTTAACCATGGGCCCTGTTTTTTTTTTTTTTAAAAAAAGGTATTTACCATGTAAGTTTAGTTCTCATGATTTGTGAAAGGTAATAATTAGTAAGACTATTTCATAAATCCCAAATCTGCATTAACAGCAGTTTGCTGCTGAAACATCAAAAGCAAGCTAGTGGAGGCTAATATTCTTTCCTTTCAATATTCTTGCCTTGACATTTGGATCATTAAAAGGGGTCTAGATCATTAACCAGAACTACTCTAGTTCTTTCACTGCCCCTTCTATATTTGATTTTAGCAATTTTCCAAACTCTTACTGCCCTACAGTCAAATCTCATAAATACTTAAGGCAAAGATTTGGTGCCTTTTTTCCAATTCTCCTTTCTAAAAAAGTATAAAGACAGAAGACAAAAGCCTTTAGTTTTATGTATTACTAACTGTTCAAATGAAAGCAATTTAAAAAGCAAATAAACAACTACATCTAAAAGTTTTAGATAGGAAAAGTTCACAGATTACATGTGCTTGAGTTTTCCTCAAATTCTGAAAATTATATCTGAAATAAAATAATCATGTTTGTGTGTCTAAAGTAAATATCTTAATAAAACAGTAATCTAGCCTCAAGGAGATGATATAATATACAAAACCTTTTTTTTTTTTTTTTTTGCCTAAATAATACAATTCAAATTTACCCTTTTTTTTATGGTTGTAAAGAAAATGTCATGTCAAAAGTAACAGAAACTGCCTGGGAAAATGGCAGAGGGTGGAAATACTGGAGTAGACCATGAGAGGCACAGCTTCACCAGGGCTTTGCAAGTTAGTAGCTTTTGTCCTTCAATGTGCTGGGGGAAGTCCTGAGGGTAGAGTTCAGGACTGGAAGAGCAGATGTCAATTTGAGGAAGCACTTCAGTGAGGATGGAGATCTGAATGACACCTCCACCTTGACCAAAGTAAAATTACAGAACTTTACACCCAGTGCCTGTAGGACATGTATTCTTTGTAAATGCAAATGGGATTCTCCCAAGATATACTTAGGCTGGGCCATTAAAAAAAAAAAAAACTTAAGAATTTGGATAATGTTAAATCATATTAGACGTATACTCTTAACCACAGTGAAATTAAATTAAATAGGTCAATACATCAAAGCATATCTAGAAGAGATCCAAATATTTGGAAATTAAATAACTGACACAAAACCAGTTGTTCAAAAAAGAGATCACAAGGGAACATGGAAATATATTTAAAGAAATGATAATGAAAGTGAAAGGTAGCAAAAAAATTAGGGGCTGTTAAAGACGTGGACAGTGGGACCGTTACAGCTTTCAATGGTTTCATACAAAAAAAAAAATGAAAGAATTAAAATCAATGGAAAATTTTTCTAACTTAAAACTAAAGCAAATTAAACCCAAAGAAATTAAAGGTGAAATTGAAAGCAAATAATAGAGAACAAAGACAATGTTGACTCTTTGAAAAGTTTAATAAAACTGAGTGATGCCTATCAAGATTTAATAAGACAGAAAACCCAATTATAAATCAGAGATAAAGTGGAATGTCATGATAATGTCATCCTATTGTCTTGAAGGATTATATTTAATCCCATTATGTGTGTCCCAAAGAATATACACAATGCCATGAATATTCCATGAATATTCAGTATACTTTTGCTGAGTGAATAAAACTAAATGCATGCATTCTGACTACTGTCCTCAACCGTAAATCATATGATTCAATAATAAGAAAATAAAAATATAAATTCTTAGAATTAAAGACATATGGGATTGCATAGATTCCAAATGGTGATTTTTCTCTTTTGCATTTTACTTTCTCTGAAATTGGATGCGTCTTAACACTTACTTATGTGTCATTGCTTAATTGGCAGTTTGCTTCTTTCTTAGCAGTCTATAAAATAATGCTATATCTTAATAATGATGGAGTTTTAGATTCAGTGGTATATAGTAACAAAGCCTTACTATTGCTTCTCATCAGTTGCTGAAGGGAATATGGAAAGCATATGCACACAGTGCCTAGACATTCTCTACCCCCTTCCCTGCCCCGTCCCCCCAATAATCAGAAACAAAGGCCCGAATTCAAGATGACCATTCAGCAGCTGAGCTGCAGTGCTAACCTCAGGATCCAGGTTTTGAGAGCATGTTTTTTCCTCAGGTTCCACCTGTCTGCCTTTCAGCCTTGGTGGGGGCAAAGGTGTAGGCTGTGCCTCTGATTCTTCCCATTCTTTACATTCTTCAGGGAGGGCAGTTTCTTTATCTTCCAGCCCAACTTTCTCCTCCCTTTGATTGTGCTTTTTCAACAAGCTTCTTGGTCGAGGTGAAGGCTTTAAGTGGTTATCTGCTTCCAGGCAGCTGTTTTCTACTGAAAAATAACATGCCGTAAGGCTGACTATGGCTTCAACTATTTACACCCTACGGCACCACCATATTCCCCCCACCCCCTTCCCACACACTTTGGTTGTCTGTCCTGGAGAAGAAGTCCGCACCCTGCTCTTCACAGAGCTTCAGTGAGACACAAATAAGCCATGTTCATAGTCACAGTTCAAAAGTAACTGCCATTCTGGAAGTGACTTCAATACTCTAGTTTCATGAGAAATTAACTGCCTAACTTTAGGATCTCTTCTAAGTATTCAAAAGAATTAGACACACACACACAAAAGAAAACCAAGCCAGTTGCTATGAGTATCTGTTACCAGCCCCTCTGCACATTATCAGACAGACAATCAGGCGAGTGACAATGGCTCTGCCAAGGATTTTACTGCTTGGGAAGGCAGATGATCCTAATCCAAGAAATTTATAAGTCAAAGGTAAATGCTGTTACAAGTATGAAGATGGTGTCTCTGCAGTCAAGCACTAGCTGTGACTAAAGGGAGGTGCAAAGAACTAGATGATTCGGTAGTTACTATTCTTGAGTCTGTAAAACTTCTCCAGGAGTTATTCAAATTTCTCAGTCACTATTTCCACCGCTTCAGAGTTTAAAACAAAAACCTACTGCTAGTTATACTTCCAGCCCTTAAAACTCTGTATGCAAGTTTTATCCATAGGCCTTTCAGCTACATTTTATGTTAGACATACTCATTTCTCCTTTGTCTACTAATGCAGTCTTCTGATAAATTTTCAAAACTGGATCAATGAACACCTTTCTTCTATGTAAGTGGGTTGTGAAAGCTGCTAGAATATTCCACAACCATACCAAACTGATGTCTCCATGAAGATTTATTTCATTGCCAGTTTTAGTGAGGCCCTAACCTTTCGCCCAATACTGAATGCAAAATCCAAGAATCATCCCAGGTTCTGCTGCTGTTCTCCCCCGTGTCCAAAGCACCACCAAATGCTATCGACTCTATTTAACTAAATCTCTCGTTCATCCTGCTTTCAAAGTCCCCACTGTCAACTCCTCATTCACTCTTTTCTAGATTACTCCTCTGCGATTTATAATCAGATCACATGGCTGTTTTCCACAAATTTCTTGGATGGCCCCCCATCATCCCATCCTATGGCACAGACACTTACTTGCCTTGGAACAGACAAGTCTTTCCTGGTGTTGGTCCTGCATATCTGTTCTGCCCTGGATGCTGGCACCCCCTCACCCCACCCTGTTTCTGAGAGGTTGGGCTGATAGTTGCTTGGCAGCTATTCCATCATCCCTCCTGCTACCATACTTTACCCAGGCTGCTCCCTCTGCCTAGAATGTCCGCTTCCTGCTTCTCCTCTGACAAATGACTGCTTTCGAGCCTCAGTTTAAGCAGAACATTGTATAATGCCTGAAAGAAGGTATGAAGTCAAATTTTTTGTCAAGAGAACATGTAACAAGAGGTTTCTTAACAAATTAAGTGCACAAATGCTATTGGCTAACTATAGGTACAGCAGATTCTAGAACTTATTTATTGTACAACTGTAGCTTTATATCTGTTGAATTAGGGTTTCCCCTCCCCTCAACCCTAGGCAATCCATACTTTGTTTCTTGAATTTGATTATTTTAGGTATCTCCTATTTGAATTGTGGCTTGTATACTTATCTGGACTGTAACCTTATACAAATCTTTTTAAGTCTGCATTTTTGGTTTTTCCATTGGTAAATGGGAAATAGTGGCAAATAGCGAGGAATTCTTAAGGGGCCAGTGGGACTTAGTTGAGACAATGTGAAGTCCCCAGCACAGGGCTGACACATGGTAAGTTCTCCATGAACATGAGCAGTTGAAATAAACATTCCTTTTTTTTTTTTCAGTTTTTCTATCATTCTTTTTTGGGGTAGTTTCTCATCTGCTCCATCATGCAAGTCTGGTGGATTAATAACAGCACCTTCATATATCTTCCCCATCGCCAGCTGATCACAGAAACTTCATTTCTGTTGTCCAAGAGCGTGGTCAAGGGGTCAGTATTTTTCTGTTTGGAGTTGGAGGATGTTCCTTTAACACGATGGGACTGAAGGATGTGGCTGGACGAGTGCCCTTATCCTCGGCCAAGTGAGGGGTTATCCAATAAGGAGACAATGACAGAAAGACAGGACAAGGGATGGAGCGACCAGGGAGATGATGGGCCGGAGGAGGTTGAGAGGGCAGGGAGGGAAGGTAGAAGAGAGGAAATGAGAGAATCCAGATGACCTAAAAGTCCTGAATCTGTAAACTTAATCACCCCCATAGCAAGGCCTTCTGACCTCTGTGCTCAATATAAGGTGATAAATCCCCTTCCCACTGATATGTGTGTGAGTTGTGTCATTTGAACCAAGCGTCCTGACAACAGCTACTATTACTGTCATGGTTACTGCTACTAGTGGCATCTCCTCTAGGAAGCCTTCCCTGATCTCTAAGGGGTCAGGGTAAACTCAGGTGCCCACTTTTCTGTGATCTTGCTGCTCCTTTTGTATACCGTGCCACTAAATTATAATTTTTTTGCTATGGCTTGAAGGCTTGTATTTTTCAAAGCTTATGTTGAAATCCTAAGCCCAAAGGTGATGAACTAGAAGGCAAGGCCTTTGGGAGGCGACTAGGTCATGAAAGCCCATGGTTTATGAATGGGATTAGTGATTTTATAAAAGAGAGGCTCCAGGAGCTCCCTGGAGTTCCTGGTCCCGTGATACATGTGAGGATACAGGGGATCTCCAACTTTTCACTGTATCCTCACATGTCGCAAGGGCACTTTGGTCTCAGACTTCCAGCCTCCAGAAGTGTGAGAAATAGAATCCTGTTTTTTATGGGGCCACCTGCCCTGTGGTATTTTGTTACAGCAGCAAAACTGACTAAGATAGTCTTGGAGGATTAGTACTGTGTTTTTCTACTGTCATAATCTTAGTTACCACTGTTGTGATTGCAACAGTGTCAAATATATTACACTCTGTAATAAACATGTGGATAAAATCATTTGCTTCCTAGTACCCTAGGGAGGCATATTTTAGCAAATGAACTTTTCATCATTCCTCATGCTTACATGTCTTTTAGAATTTTATAGTTAATGACATACTTCTGTGTATCCTCACAGCAAATATTTCCCAACAAAGGCTAAATAGTAAAGTCAATAATAAAAGATTTATAGAGCACTTAATTTACCCCAAGATTTTCTAAGCACTTCTAAGCACTTCATTTAATCAACTCATATCCCTAGTAGGGGGTTAACCATTATCCCCATGTTTACAGATGAATAAAAATAAGAACAAAGAAATCTTAGACTTATATTGACAAGCTGGTTTGTAGGATAAAGCAGGAACAGCCTGACTCCAAGGTTCATAATTTGAATTAAAATAAAATGTTAAAATACATGTCAAAACAAAATTAAATAAAATGTTAACATAAAACATGTTAAAATAATAACAACATGTCCCATAAACACTATCTTCCAAAATCACTAGTCCCTGGCTCAATAAGCTACTGATTACTGTACTTTCTACAAAGACAAGCAGGAACAAAACATTCAGTTTCTAATATTTTTTATAGTGTAGATTATTACTCAGCAGTATCAGATCACTTTGAAAAAGTTAAGTTCCAAACCCAATAGAAAAAAAATTATGTCCAAAAGAGTAGAGGATAAAGCTCAACTCAAGAACTACCTGCCTTCTCTCGTGAATGAATCATTTGTTCACTGATATATTCAAATATTTAATGACTCCATATGCCAGGCACTGTCTTAGGATCACTAGCCCCATATTTTTCCTTTAGCCTGAGGAACTCAGGTGTATAGACTTTGATATATTTTCTACCAAAATTCTGCTGTAGAAGTATTGCCTAGTTTTCAGAAGGAAAAAAAAATGTATTTTTGAAATGCTTTGTTTTATAATCAAATGGCAAGGATTGCCTATTTTAGCATTTTTGTCATTATATACAGTAAATTGCAAATGGCTAATGGTTGAATATATAATATTGGGGATTTGGGTATAGCATTTAGAATTTTGGTGCCATCTTGTGGTTAAAACAGTTACTTCTCTATTCATGTTATCAATAACTTGTCACAGATTTTCAAAAAAGGTACTCACTCTCAGTAAAGGTCTAATTATTTACGTCTAGCTGTTATCAGAGTAATATGCTCACAATTTTCTATTAACCTAAGGAAACTATACTTTTGGAAATGGTGAGCTCTAGGAGTATCCATCAGGTTCAATCATGTTCTCCTTTCTCTATTTTTCATTCTATCTAGTACTCTGGGGAAGGTATGTTTTTAGCAAGTGAATTATTTCATCATTCCTCATGCTTACATTTTCTTTTAGAATTTTATAGTTAATGACATGCTTCAGTGTATCCTCAGAACAGATCTGGAGGACAGGAAGAACAGGTTTTATCTTCATGAGGGCAGGAAGGCTTACCCTATTTGCTGAGGTCACATACAATTATTATGCAGTGGGTTATTTGTTTCCAGTTTTCCCTGTTCTGCTGATTTGAAAGTTAATGGGACTTGGGGGGAATGTAGGGGGTTAGGAGGAGAAGTGATTTCCTAACACACGTCTGAACACTCTAAGATCACCAGTGATATCTAATATGCAAAGCATGGAATAGTACCAATACAATGTTTACTGATGATAAAAAGGAAAGAGATTTTTATGAAGGTTACCATCAACTAATGTGTTTTAATATAAAAAAGAAAAAGGCAGAAATCTGGAAGACATCAAACTCTTAACCTTCTATGCCCAGTGTGGTGGCCCGGGGACCTCCGAGGGGTTGGTGTCTGCTCTACTCCATCTTTGCACCACTGTGGAGAAAACTACCGTCATCCTAGATCACACCAGGAACTTCCACAGAAAACTGAACTTAGTGGGTGCTCCTAAGGGATGGAGAGAGTGCTTTCTTAAGGAGAGTCTCTGGAGGCTTACCCAACAGCAACAACACAACTCTCTCCCTTCCCCTTTCTGGAAAAATGACACTATGGAAAGAATTGATTTAAGGACAAGTTCCAACGTTGCCATAACACTAATCTCTGGATGTAAGGTGGATTAGTAAGTATGCCATTGTAGTCTGTCCCTAAAAATAAAACTGAAGCTCACAGGTCTCGGCAAGGCAGGATGGAGTCGTCTTGGCACCACAGGTGTGCACTGAAGATCCTCTCCCTTCACTCAGGACCAGAGAAGATGCGAGGCCCACACATAGTGGCGCGTCAGAACTATAGCTTCCTCTGTGGTTCTATTATTTGGTTTATATTTGTAACTGTGAAAAGTTCAGTCTGATTTTTTTCCCTAAATATTTATTACCTACCCGTTAAAGGTATTTGGGGATGGATTACTTTAAAATAATGTTTCCAAGAAATGCAATTACAATACCCTAAAAAATTACCTGAAGGTGTGCTTTTGATAGAAAGAATTCTAGGTTTAGGCTTCATTTCAAGTTTCTCCTTTTCAATTTCCTGGTTTTTATTTTGAGGTTGAGATGTGGGATTCGCAATCACGTCTTCATGACCATTAGGCACCGTCTCCTCATTTTTGGAGAGTAAAAGCCCATTTTTCATTATGTCACTGTTTGATTTCTTGGTTTTCAAAAAAGACAGTTTTGGAGAATTTCTTTCTTCATCTGATATATAGAAATCATTCACTTTTTTCTTAACTGAATTTTCATCTGCTGAGGTGTCAGAAAAATCACCTAAAGAAACTGAAAAATGGAAAAGAAAAAAATATTTCCAATGGTCTATTTTATAGTTTTGAGGCTACATCAATCGAAAAGGTTACTTGGAAGACTAGAAATGAATTTAAAAGTATGCATTGACTTGGATCTTTTTTAATAAGCAGAAAATGCAACAAATTAAGGCAGTTTTTAATTGGCATTTATGAAATAAAAATTTCAATTTTATTCATTTGCTTAAAACATACTTATTCAGCAAGACAGTGTAAGCACTGTTTGCTCTTAGAGAAGTCACCCAAAGGTTCCTAAAAATAACAATCAGCCATGGGACATTTAGGTTGGATTTGGACGATAAACTACTCTTTGCAAGCAATTTCATCAAATAAAATCAAGAACATTTGTAGATGGAAGAATTTAACAAGTTACTTGGTAATTATTGTTTCTATGAAAATTTTGGAACAACCCCATCCATATCAGAATATTAGATTTTTTACAAGAAGAGTAATAAAGACTGCTAATTTAACTACATAGCAATGATTTCACTATTGTTCTGATTATTTTTATGGAGAAAATGAGAAACATCTACCAAATGCTTAAGTATAAAACACTGGACTTCAAATAGTATTCTATATGCTTACTCATGAAATTTAAGATGTTAACTTCTTTATGCAAATGAAAAATTAAATCATATCAGTACTGATACACTGGGTTTTAAAAAGTGAACTCCTTTTACAACCAAGAAATCTGATTTATAAAAAGCACTATAAAAGTGACTGTAATATATACTAGAGTCTAGTTCTAGCTCTGGGGTCCCAAAGGTTGATCTTAAAGGTGGACTGTCTCCAGTGTGGTTTACCACTGATGCTTTTTACCTTTTACCTTTAACCTATTGCTGATTAATGTGTGTGTGTATATATATATATATATATATATATATATATATATTCAGAAGCAACCGAGGACTATCACCCTACTTCTTAAAAATTAAGAGTGACTTTCAAGTTAGAAATGAAAACCAATGAATTCATAGGTATTAGTTTACATAAGAGATTATTTTGGAGGGATGATTAAATGGAACTAAGAAAGCAAAACAAGTTTACTTGTCTGTATTTTCACATACCAATCTCATCACTGTCAAAGTCATCTGAGTATTCAGAACTCCTCTGTCTGGCTGAGCGAGCTGTAATTGCTTTTATTAGCTCATCCTGAAATGAGATAATTAAAATCAATTTCCACCCAAACATGGAGGTCTCATGTTTAAAATTCATCCTTTAAACAAAGAATGACAGGTTAACAGCTGCTTCCAACGTTACGTTTCATTCAACCTACCTTAATGCAACATACTCTGGCCCTCAGACCCAAGGCAGAAGATCACAGACAAGACCCCCAAATCTCTCCTCACAAAGCTTACAGGAGGAGACAGACACCACCCAGCAAATTAACCAAGGAGCTCAATATGGACAGCAGTCACTATAAACTGGCATTTTGGAAAACACTCCAATCTTTAGGATCTTTTATTTCAGCATTTTACCGTAATGGATGTTAACAGTGCTACAAATTTAGAGGTCGAGCTTAAAATGTAGTGACAAATGTAAATGGCATTATGTTACAACAGGAAAAAAACTGAAAAAAAATTATATGAAAATAGCAATTTAAAGCTGCAATTTCACTTGTCAGAGCTGATTAAACTTATAACTTGGTTAAAAACCTAGTTTTGAAGCGAGTCTGCTAGCCTTACCGCCACAAAGATGAGTTGTAATACTGCAGCCTAAATAATACAGAGTCTACCAGGTGAAAATCACTCAAAATAAAAATGATTTAAAATACTTTACCTGGAAAGAAGTCCTTTTGGTAACTTTTGGACTCTTCGTATAGGCCAAAGTTGTGCTAAAAACCTCATCAGACATATTACTTTTTTACTGTTTACCTTTATAAAATGTCTAATAAATGATAAAGATGGTTCAACCTCTGTTGGTGGCTGAAATATACAAAACAAAAATCATATTTTTTTTGCATGTTTCTGTACTCCTATTACTACACTTAATTCCCCCCATCAAAGACAAGCAAAGCATCTCATGTGAACGCTGAACTACATCTTCACTTAAAAGGTAAACAGATTTTGTAAAGAAATAATCAAATTTTCACAACGAGCTTATTTTTTTAAAAAAAGAAAATTCCAATTGAAGTTATTCTAAAATAGCTCCACAATCATTGTTAAGCATTTGAGCAAACGGATGACTGCAACAGGTTATTATGACAAAATGCTGCTAATTAAAATAGAAATCTTACTTTTCTCCTACCTGCCATTCAAAAGATATAACATGCATTACAGTAATGTATTTAAAAGACTATCAAGAAGATAGAAAGCATGAAAGTATAACTAAGAGCATCACCAAAAAAGAAAAAAAAAAAAAGCCTACAACGTTAGCGAAAGAAAGAAAAACAGTAATAATGCTCATTTACAAAGAGCAATCATTTTTTCAGGTCATTCTTCCCCTCGCAGAACAGTTAATAGCCTTTGATAAAACAAACGATGATGGGTAGCATGGCTATCACTGACAAAGGCGCCTGCAGACGTCTCCGTGCAGCGAGACCCGGGCCGAGCCCCCTCCTGCTGCAGCAGCGCAGGCCTCGGGGGGCCGCTCCCCACCCGGCCAGGTGGCGCCGGGCCCCGCCCAGCACCCTGCGCTCGCCAGGCCGCTGCACACCCAGCGCCCTCTCGGCCCTTCCTCCGCCCCCGACCCTGATTCTGCACTTACCTGCCCCGGCCACTCCCCGGGCGGACTCCCCGCGACCCAGACTTCGGGGCGACCGACCTCGGGAAGGACCCAGGGCCTGGGATGGGGCCGGCCGGGCAGCTCCCGACACCAGCAAAGGGCTGAGCCAGGGGGCGGGGCTAAAAGCGGAGGTGGGAGGTGGTTGCTAGGAAACAGCGTCTCCGGGAGGAAGTGACTTCTCTACCTCCAGGTCTCCCGGGTACCCAGCACGGCTTTTCGGCACCAGGCGTCGCTGGGGCAACGGCCCAGACGGAGGAAGTGACGTCGCCCCCGGGTCCCGGGAGAGGTTGTCAGGCCCGCTGCGGGTGCTCCTGCTGTTGCTAGGAGACAGAACCCGCCCAGCATCCGCGCTGACGCCGGGAGCGTCACGCTCGCTGTCAGGTGGCCGGATGGTCCTTACCTGCGGATGCTGCGCGAGTCTAAGCGCATCAGCGTTTTGCCAGTTCGGACGTGAAGTTCTGTGCATTCGATAGTGGAGTGACCATGAAGTGTGCAGACATGGGTAGTCATAGGGTGCAGGTTCAGGGCTCAAAGTGCACATTTGAGCCCTGGCGTGCCTTCCCGATGCCCGTCCTAGATGGCATGATATCGTGCAAATTAGTTTCTGGGTCTCAATTTCCTTTTCTGAATGAAAAAAAAAATTGGAAAGCTTTTGTATACTCCCCCTTTATTATTTTCCTTTACTTAAAGGGTTGCTGCGAGTCTTGAATGAGATAATGCAAGTAAAATACTTGCAGGCGCTCCTGGGATAGCATTCAGTCAATATTAGATACACTTTATGCAACTCCATCACAAAGGACCTGGGCATAAGTTGTAACTTCTTCACCGGGGTGAAAACCTATTTTCAACTGTTTCTTTAAGGTGACGTTTCGATCTTCGGAAACGCAGTGAATATAACATGCTTAAAAATAACCAGCCAGCAAAGTGATCTAGTGGACTGCCGTCAAGTAACCAAAATCCACATCATTTCATTAGCATAGGTTATCTATAAACAAACAAAAGATAACACTGATTAAAGACTTTACCGTGAACTTGTACTATTTTTAATTTTAACAAAGCATAGGCCTAGTTAAATGAGGTCATTGAAAAGTATTTAAACTTATTCCCTTTTTATAGTTTTAGAATTTTTGCTTTTCACTTGTTTAACAATTGCTTATAAATAACATTGAGATACAGCTATAATAAATCAATATATTGAAAAACTAAATGTGCATTACCAGAATTATGAAATTTAGCAAAAGAAATCCATGCTGTGAACAATATCTACAATGTCACTTAAAAAACTGTTCAGTTTTTGCCCAACTTGTTCTTATTTGAGAAAAGCTCACTGCCAAAGATTTGCTTAATGTTTGATTTTTCAAGCATTTTTGAGTGAGCCTCTGCATAAGTAAAAGGTTTTTCCATTATCATCAATTTCTATTAACTTTCTGGCACATGTAAGATAACCAATGAGTTTGATTCCATCAGATAACTGCGTCCACAGTAACAGGATGAGCATCCACATTTTTCTTGTATGTGAAGTACTAATTTACTCATATTGACTTACTTCCATTCATTCAAAAATCTCTCCTCAGTGCATTTTTTTCATTTACTTGGCTAATACGGTTTTCTTTTAAATATGATTTGAGAAAATATGTTCACAAAAAATATTCTTGAAAAAAGTCCTTAAGATCCTATCTTTTCTACAGAATCTTTTGGACTTTTATTTTCAACGTAATACAAAATAATAAACAGTAGCAAGATATGCCTTTAAAAAACTGGTTAATTTCTCCATAAAATCTAAAGCACAGTGTCTTTCTACTATTTTTTTATCTTAAGCAGCAGAAAATTTTCTACTTTATTAATATTTTCAGGTTCCTTCAGTATAATGTGTTAACAATATTAAATAAAACTCGAATTAAAAGTATGTTATTTAAATGCATAGTTTGCAGTAAGAATATTTCTTAGTGAATTAACTTATGAGATACTGCCCTTAAAAAAAGAAAATACTTCAATACATAAAATCTCACTAGCTTATATTACATTTTCTCTGTATTTTGTTTAATTTTTCTAGCGGATAATCGATCTCAGATATAGTTGCCTAGCAAACACTTTTTTGAGTTTAATACCCTTTTCATTTCTGAACCATGCCTTCACTCATTCATTCATTCAACCTATATCAATAATATTCTTGGTCAGACTTCGGAGTTTAAAGGTAACCGGTATACATTCTAGTCTATGGAGAATACAGACTGGAGAGAGCCAGAAGAGTTATTACACAATGACTGCATATTATGATTACCCTGTAGAAGCACAAAGTGCAAAGCTCTCGAAAGAGAGCAAATAGGGCCTCCCTGGTGGCGCAGCAGTTGAGCGCTGGGTTGCGAAGCTGCCCACAGCCTCTGCGGTGCCGGTTCGATCCCCGGCTGCTCCCTGGCCACGGGAGGAGGGTCCCACATGGCGCGCAGACCTCTCCTGCCGCCCGCTGCTCCCCTCAGCAGTGTACTTCGGTCCTTCTGCCTGCTCTGCTCCCCGCTCTGACTCTGGTGAATTCTCTCACCCTCCCGCGCTTCTGACTGTACCCAGTGCTTGTATAAATAAATAAATAAATCTTTAAAAAAAAAAAAGTTAAAAAAAAGAGAGCAAAGAGTTCTTCACAAGGTGAGTTTGAGTTAATTAATAAGGTTAGAACATAAGGAAGGATCAGAACTGTTATAAACAGAGGACATGGCGTGTGGAGAGGACGCCTGTCCCACTGTGGGGTTAAGTGGAGGAGCAGAGCCATGTTGACATGCTCAGAATGTGCTCCGGAGCTGAAAGATCCATTTTCAGATTAGAAGCAACTGAGAAGTGACTGTTCAAAAGTTCCCTTCCTTCAACTGGGCAGGCAAATCGAGTATTGTCCAGTCACTGGCTGTCCGAGCTAGAGACAAAGGATCTTGTACTCAAAGCTGGTCCATCTGAATAAAACTCATCCAGCACTTGGAGAAGGGCACTACAAGGCAAATCCCCACGGGGTTCAACTGATACTCTACTTACAGAAGGCATTGCATGCCCATGTCAGAAGAGAAGGGAAGCAAATATCATGTTACTGTACATTTACCACAACCAAGGCTGACTTGTGGGATTGAAACAGCAAGAGAATTATTAGAGGGAAATATCAGAATTGTGAGGAAAGCCAGCTACGACCAATTAAGAACACTGGCTGAAAGTGTTTATCATCTTTTTTTTTTAAAGATTTATTTATGCATACAAGAGCTGGGGTGTAGGTCAGAGTTGTGAGGGGTGAGAGGATTCACCAGAGACAGAGTGGGGAGCAGAACAGGTGGATTGACTGAAATACACTGCTGAGGGGAGCAGCAGGTGAGACAGGAGAGGGCTGCTGCGCAGGCTTCATAGTGCTGATGCTTAACCCTTTGTGCCACCAGGGAGACCCCGGTTATCAGCTTCTTATGAGGGAGGGAGAATGGCCGTTGATCTGGTGTTTGCATCCCAGATCCATTAGCACCCTCCGAGTAAGGTATTTTATTCCCTGTGTGGCCCCACCTTTCATCTGTCTTGGAATTGCTGTCACCTTTTGCTTTGTGTACCTTCTCTTTAAGACAAATCTGGTCTCAGGATAGGAAAGGAAAATCATATATTGACATGTTTTTACACTTTATAATTTTTTTTGTGTGAGTAAAATCCAATGTTGGTAAAACAACAAAAATAACTCAAACTATGAAAAATATGGAAGTTATCAGAGGGAAAAGAAAAGGTTTCAATGGCTAGAGGGCTCAATTTGATAGTCTGACAGCACCCAAGTTTGATGGTGGTTAAATGAAGCATCGACACATAGTGAGGTGTGAAGCTGTCCTCCCGTATTATATAATTTTGTAATGAATGGTAAGTCAATACAATTTGATTAAAAATAATAAAATAAAATCCAGTGTTGAAGAAATCCCAGACATCACTGAACGGGCATTTCCTAATAAAATGGTCCTTTTAGAATTTTCAAGGAAAGAGCTCAACTGTAGGTGATAAGGTGGAACAAGTTCTTCCGCACCTTACATCGAAACTAGTTCTGGTTTAGAATTGCAATCGTGTAAGAATGCAACTGTTTTTTTTTCTTCTTTGGAAAGTCTTTTCCAGAAAGGGAAAGAAATTCCATGATATGCATTAGTAACCAACTTCCAGAAGATGGCAGCAAAGAATTTAGTAGTTGGCAATAGAACTCAAGCATAATATTTTCTGGTAACTTTGCTTAGAGTATTAAAAATTGCATTGAAAAATGGCTTACAGAACATAAAACTTGTTCAGTATCACTTTTTATAATGGCAATGCAAATCAAAACCACAATCAGATATCCCCTGACCCCAATTAGGATGATCTTTATCAAAAAGATTGGAAATAATAAATGTTGTACAGTGTGTGGAGAAAAAGGAATTCTCGTTCGCTGTTGGTAGAAATGCAAGTTGGGGTCACTCTACAGAAAATTATAGGTATGGAGATTTCTTTAGACAATGAAAATGGAAATTCCATGTGGCCCAGCATTACCTCTGTTGGATACTTATGCCCCAAAAGTGATAATTCAAATACAAAAAGACTAATGTACTCCTATGTTCATTGTAGCCCTATCCACAATAGCCAAGTCATGGAACCAATCTAGATGCCCACTAACAAACAAATAAAGAAATTGTGAAATATAAACTTGATGGAATACTATACAACTACTGAAAAGCTAAAATAATGCCATTTGGGACAAAATGGATAGACCTTGAGGTTATTATGCTGAGTGAAATAAACTGGGAAGCAAAAGGCAGATATTGGATAGTTTAAATTATCTGTGTAATATAAATAACCAAAAAACATATATTGGCAAAACATAGCAAAAAAAAAAAATCTTGGGACTTAGTGAAAAAATTTACAGTTTAATAGAGGGAACGGCGGGGGGGTAGAAGAAGGGAGTTGGTTGAGGGTCAATGGAACATGTGTACATATGGAGGAGAAAAATGTAACCCCGTAATAATAATAATAATGATTAAAAAGAAAAATACACCATTTAAAAATCATTTCATAAAGATTTTTTCAATCATCAGCTTTTTCCTTATATTAGAAAGTTAGTCATTTAATATGAGAAGAAAATAATTTTAATAAATATTT